GTTCCTATCACCACCACTGCAAACACCTCTGACAAAGAACGAAGAAGTATTTCAAATCAAACCACTCTGAATGACTTTGCTTACATCTTAAACATCTAATTATGTTGAAATTAAATATTAATGTCCCTTTAGATGAGATGTGTGATTCTCTTTAGGCAAACCTGATGTTACTAGAAAACAAAAATGCCGGCCCCGAGGCAGTCACAGCCTCGGTTTCCGGCCTAGACTTTCTGAACTACTGAGCTGGAAGAGAGGAACATGTTTCAAATTCTGCTTAACCATTTTCTTCTAGATACTCAAATAACAACTAAAGTGCACAGCATGATTTACTGCTGTCAGTCAAACCTTCTTCCAGAATTCTTCCCAAACAGCTCCAATCAGATTCACCGCAAATACGCTGAAATTACAACCAGATATCCAGATGCCCTTGAAGAACTCAACAGCAAACCCTGGAAGCAGGACAACATTTGTTACTTGTTTATTCCTCACACAGCACACCTTTCAAGCACTTTAAAGCTGGAGGTATCAGCATTCAGCACAACTGACTGCTTCACCATTAGGGGGCTGCAAACACCACGGGACAGGCGCTGGAGGCGAGCCCAGGGGCAAATCCCAAAACACCCAACTGTAGGGCATGAGTTTCACATGTTTGAGTTATTAAATATGTAGGCTATGAAAGACATCTGAAAAGAGACAACCATCAACATGATTTGATGAACATTGAGTTGTGTAGAGCAGCCTAAAGAGGTCAAACTCCAGTAAGAGTACTGTGCAAAAATCAGAGACCACTCTACCCACAGAGACCACCCTACCATAAGTAAAAAAAAACCATGAGATTCTAAAACTGAAGTTTATAAAAATATTAAAAGATACAGACAAAATGAGACTCCTAACAACTACCTGAAAGACCTGGTAGACACCAAAACTGTCTCCATCAGATAAACAGCACTTAAAGCTTTCATCTTTGAGAGAGAGGAGAAAATCAAGCTGCTTCAGATCTGAAAACATCCACAGGTGTTTCTGTCCATCCTTCCACTGTGAGAAGACGACTCAGCACTATGGGTCTCAAAGGATGCGTAGCTGCCAAGAAGACCTCACTGAGAAAAGGAGAGACACATCAAACAAAGAAGCTGAACAATGGACTGACCACCCCAGAGTCCAGACCTCAACATCACTGAATGTGTTTGGGTTTACTTGGAATGTGAGAAACAGAAAATATAAATACAACCGACTTATAAGACTGACCTTTGAGGTGCGGAAAAATATCCCTGCAGGTTTCATTGAAAAACCAAAAGTCTCCCAAAATGGATCAATTGATATTATTTTTAGTCGCCGAGGCTTCTGTGCAATTTTCTGTTTAATATATATTTTTATGCTTTTCTACATTACACTGAAAAATGAAAATAAATCAATTATGTAAAGACAGTTTTGGCTGGAAAAAGAAAGTCCCATATACCACTGCACTGAAAATTCTTTGTACATCCAGCATCTATCAGTATAGGAGCTGGACTTTGTTAGGCTCTGTTCTTCTCTTTTTGGTAATAAATAAAATAAAGCTTTAAAGTGAGAAATGTGAGAAAGTAGTCCAGGTGCCAAATTAAAAGAACTGAACAGAAAAAAAGAAATTAACAACAAATTATAAATGATTAGACTAAATAAAGAGGAGATTGAATTTCCTCACAAATATGGGCTACTTTAGAGGCCCAGTGAGTGAAAATATTCTGAAAGGTACAAATCCATGAAAATATTCTTATGAGTAGTAAATGTGACTATTTAGGCTACTACGCTGCAAAAATGACATCTTGGCAAATGAAACCATTTTAAATCTTGACAATTCTTCTAATATATCTCATTATGAGAGTGTTGTGAGCATTGTTTCTTGAAACAAGCAAATTTGACGTTTTTTGCCAAGAGTGAAAATTTCACTAGACACAACTGCTTAAAATAAGAATAAACAATTCGAAAAGTTGAATAGTCATAATATTCTTACAAGAATCTCATAATGAAAAATATTAGATATACAGATTAGATTGAAGGTGTTTTTTCTCGTCAAGATAGCATTTTTGCCGAGCACCCACCTCGGCTTGTGTTTTGAGTCAGTCTGTCTGAGCACAAGGGCAGAATCTCAAATTGCTCTCTGCTCCCTATGTAGGGCACTAGGAAGGTCTTAAAACAATGGCTCCTGCACCCAAACACTGCATAATGTATCTAACAGAGAACCATTTTGGATCCTGTCACGATTCTGTTCTGAACATATAGCGCAGTATTTGGATGTAAATGACAAAATTTCATAACTCACCCTGTGCACTATGTAGTGAGTAGTGAGGGTTTTGAGATTCAGCCTCTGAGAGACTTTTGAGAGACGCCGCCATGTTTGCATCACTTCTGTCTCCCGCCTCCTCGCGGCGTTGCCAGTAGCAACAACAGCCGGGCTTCCTCTAGGCAAGTTTCACACAGAAACTAAACGCTGTTTTTTTATGTTTTAGACTAAAATAAAATGCATTACTTTAGTGGATTCGGACTAATTTAAAGAACTTATTTAGCCTAAATACATAACAGGCAAAAAGTTCGGCAGAGTCATGTTTAAGGGTCGCCTATGTGTCTGAAGGGGAAACAAACCGCTACAGTAAGTTAGTTAACGCTAACGTCTCTCAAGCCAAGGTAAGTAACGTTAACCCAGGTCTAAAATGAACCCACATGGCAGAATTTGAGCCTGTGCTCTCTGTATTAGAATTAAAAAAGTGGCCTACAGCTTTCTGCTCTGAGTTGAAGGGAAATATAGCGCTATAGTGTTGTGTTGTGAACTGGTAATGAGGGGGTGTTCAGCTGTGTGACAGCCGAACCCTCAGTTTGACTAAATGGAGGGTAATAACGTTCACAGGCCGCCATTCGATTCAAAATGCTCAGAGGTTGCTTGCTAATTATGTGAAATGACTTAAAGGGGAAGTCCATACATTTTTTAAAAATTCTGAATAATTCAGTCCTTGAGATGTTAACAGAGTCATTCAGAGTGGCTGATATGAATTGGTTAATTGTAGAGAAACTTAGCAGTATATTTCCCACAGTGCTAAATTTAATTTTAACTCTCAACCTGTGTTGTAAGTAATAGTTTAGCCCACAGTGTGAAAAACATGTTGCCATATCTTTGTTTTTACTGTCAGTTTGGCAAAATGAATGCAGCTAACAATGCAAAGAGATGGAAATAAAATATTCCACTATATTCCAAATATAGTGGAAAGCAAACAGAGTCATTCAGAGTGGTTTGATGTGAAATGGTTAATTGTAGAGAAACTTACTGACTCAGATTTCTTTACAGTGGTGGTTATAGGAACCAGGGATTGCAATGTATATGACACAAATATAGTCATTGCTTTATTACGCAAAAATCACTAAGGACCCACATGTGTCTAAGTTTTTATAAGTAATGTGAATGATGGAAAAATAATCATAAATATTAAATTATCTTTTTTGCTCTGCAATGTATCCCTCTGCTATGAATGGATTCAGATAAATGGGTTAAAAAAGATTTTAAGCCAAAGCTTTGTCGCAAAACTATCATAAAACAATGTGTCAGAAATCAGGCAGCAAATATCTAATCATTTTAACGAATAACTTTCTGTGTGGGAACTTTTAGTGGCACTAAACTCTTCAGACGTCTGGTTCCTATCCCCAACACTGAAGAATTCGTACTTGATATGTTTCTGTAGAACTGGGCGTTTAAAATCAAACCACTCTGAATGACTTTGCTTACATCTTATCTAATTATGCTGAAAATTTAAAAAAATGCTCCTTTAGATGAGATGTGTGATTTTTGTTAGGCAAACCTAAATTTCTCTAGAACAGAGCACTTCAAACCACATGAAAACCATTACATCATGTAGAAATTTTTAAAAATTGGTGGAATCTCCCTTTAAGTGCCACTAAACTTCAGAACCAAAGTATTTTAGTGGAGTAAATTGTTCCTAGCTTTGCAGTTTAAAGACTATTTCACCTCATAGGCTACAGATTAGGCCACAAATGTCACGTAATACTTAATTTCAAATAATAATTTACACAATATTTACTTTCGTCTTACATTTAAAATGTAAAGTGTAATTTATACATTTAATTCGGGCTGTCATTACCTGTCTTCTGTTACTGTGCCTTTAAGACTGATATATTTAAATGATCTCTCTCCTGATTGGCTGCCTTGTGTTGTGCCTCATTCCATAAGCAGGCTGAAACACTCCTTATAACCTCAGCATGAATGGGTTGGGCTAAGCAGTTGTGGTATGCAGATATATGTAAATTGATTTGTTTTCATGGCAAAAACAGTGAACACAGAACAGTGTTTCACAGGTTAAATTAGAGTCTTTGATCTTAAAAAGTGAGCAAAAATCAGTTTTCCATTATGTGGGTGCTGTAAACAAACAAACAAAGGTAGATTCATCAAGACTTTAAACTCATACTTAAGAGCAGTGTCAGACAGAAGTCCTTGCTAAGCGGTTTTACTGAAGCTATCACTCACTGCATATTGCATTTAAATACTTTGCACCTGTTGGCACATATTACTCTGATAATAGCTCTCACTCCACCACAGGGAACATGTTTTGTTGACTCAGATAGTGCTCGTTGAGCATAGGTGTTTTACTGTTAAGGTTTTCTTGACCATGACAGTAATTTTTATACCAGATTGTCATTATAACAGTAATGACACGTGTGTGTTGCAATTAGGGTGTGACATTGAAAGATATACCGTAGAAGTCCTAAAACCACTAAACCATAAAAAAAGAGGTCACCAGCGTCCTGAAAGGAATTTCAAACATGTGTGCCTTTCGCAAGTGTACAAATAAAGCGGGTAGGGGGTGAATTTTCAGGGGAGTGGACAGGAGAACATTAACCCGGGCTGCCTCGGGCAGTACAGAGAGCAGAAACTGAAGAACACTGGCCAGCACAGACACCTGAAACAAGCCCCGTCCCTCCCCCGGGTGACGTCACCGCCCTTATCTCCTGCCTCTCGGCCAGCACAAAGCCGTATTTAGCTTCCAGTAATAACAGTGGGATGACCTAACGTGCCATGCTCTGGGAATACACAAAGACACTTGAAGGCTTTGAGGGACTTTCTTTATCAAATGTTGAGGTGTTGGATCCATGAGGTCCAAAAGGAATTCTGTACTAGAGCTAAGGTAAGGCTGCTTAAATGACACTCTTTAAAACAGTATGAGAAACAATGAAATAGCTAATAAAAAAGAAAGAAGAAGTTCATGCTGTAAGGGTAGGGAACTTGCTGACTGAAAGTGTGTGGCCACTGGAAGAAGAAATTCAGCTCTAAAATTAACTTTGACTAAATTGACTATTAGGTACTTTAAGTGGCTGGCTGTTCTGTTTGAATGTCACTAACTCAGACTGTCAGGGTAAATGATTAATTATTGTGCATAATAAAGCTTTATCTTATCATTTAGGGAATGAAATATGTCCAAACATTATACCTCTTTGTTGCACAGACCTTAATTTACATAGCATATTTATAGAAGCCCACTCTAATGCTAAAAAATGGAATTTATCATCAGCAGCCGATTCTTAAAGACAGTAAAGGGCCATGAATACGGAGACTGCTATTACATAATATATAAGCTGGACAGCACACGGAGCAAAGCCAACCCGGCCATATTAACATTAGCCTCTTTCTTAGCGTATGGCAAACTCCCCTCAGGAAAAACTGAATTGTGTTTTGTGGGAGCACTAACTGCAGGTCAGAGAGTTTCTCAGCAGGAGGCAAAGAGCACACAGGGCTGGCGGGCCAAAGAATCAACCACAGGCCGTCCCTCAGCACTCTGCCTAATTTGCCGTCTGAACCCCACAGCTATTGGGTTACACTGAGAGTGACTTTCAAAATAACAAGCTGTGAGACACCCTGGTGACATTTAAGGCAGCAGTTTTGCCGTTTGTGCAGTTTGCTGTTGCCAGCATTGCTTTTTTTGTTGTAATTTTATTTTTATTTTTTCTTGTTTGTTATGCTTCACAACTTTAACTACACTATCTGTCCCTCTGAGCCTTTTAGGGGCCCTTTTAAATTGCCTCAGAGAGCTGCCTTGTGTCAAGGCCTGTAGGACTTTCCACACTGTTCCTAGTTCAGTGATATCTGGTTGCTATGATACAAGGGCCATAGCCTGTAGGAGGTGATAAGTATGCATTGTCAGCTGGGACAATTTAAAAACTAAATACCAAAGCTTTCATGCAGCCACTTACACATTCATACTTTTAATTCTAGAATTTGTTTTTAAGGACTCTGTGTTGTTTGTAGAGAGCTAAAAAAACTGCTTTACATTGATTCAAATGCGTACATGGTTTCCACGTTCCATAAAGTATATTACATGACTGAATATAGAAAACTCATAGTCCGAAACCACCCTTCATTTATGGATTTTCCAGTCAAAACAGCCATGAAGTACAAGTTATCAAGTGCTTTCTGTTGAGAGTAGATAAAAGATAATGCACTTGCATAAGAAAAATAAGGAAAATGAGTGAAAAATGAGTTTCCAAAACCAGAGGTATAAAAAAGTATTAAAAGCTTCAGAGACAATGGGACTCCTAACAACAGTGCAAGTAGTTTTGGTAGACCACCAAAACTGTCCCCCTCAGATAGACAGAACTTAAAGCTTTCATCTTTGAGAGAAAGGAGAAAACCAAGCTGCTTCAGATCTGAAAACATTCACAGGTGTTTCTGTCCATCCTTGCACTGTGAGAAGACAACTCAGCGCTATGGGTCTGAAGGGATGTGTAGCCATCAAGAAGACCTTTCTGAGAAGAAGAAAAAAAAGCAAATCAAACAAAGAAGCTGACCACCCCAAAGTCCAGATGTCAACATTGTTAGATGTAATTGGGATTACTTGGATCGTGAGATCAAGTTGAAAATGCAACCAACTTTTAAGACTGAACTTTGGAGGTATGGGAAAATATCTCTGCAGATTTCTTTGAAAAACAAAAAGTGAGTCTCCTGAAGGTTGTAATGAAGGCAGGAGGTAGACACACTAAATACTGAAAAGTATTACTTGGTGGTTGAGGCTTCTGTGTAATTTTATGACAAATACACATTTTTTGCTTTTTTCCTGAACAATGATGTACTCTATGGTCATTTAGACTGGGAAGTAAATAAGCAAAGGGCGAAAATTATTGCCGAAATGTAAAATGAAAGACAAAACAGTGTTACTGTGGTATACTGTATTCATATGGAACCAGTGTACACATTTGTATTCAGAGCGATGTTTATTTCAGTGTGTTCAGTTGCCCTTTGGGTGAACTGTCAGTGGCTGCTTTGCTGTTGTGAGGGGCACTCACTGCTGGGCTGTGGAGGGGTAGTTAAACAAACCCCATGGTTAAACTCAAGCTCCGTCCCCTTTTTGCTAAGAGCAGATTCTTCCTCTGGCTCACAGATAGCCCCCCCACCACACACGCACACATAAATTCACTCAACCGTGGCTAATGTGGCTCCCTCGAGAACCAAACCCAGACTTAATTTTAACCCCTTACTTTTGCTTAAGCCTTCAAAGATCTCTAGAACAGAATTCCACCAGAGGCAGTAGTAGTATATTAGGCTAGTGTTAAGGCTGATATGGACAAAATACTAGCCTTGCCACTATATTGCTATAGGCTAAAGCAAACATATTACTATCTTGTAATACATTAAAAACATTATTTTGACCATAGTAATTACTTGTATTGGCTTATGTGAATACCGTGATTCATCAAAACACCTAGGACTGTGATTGGTCAGGAAATTCTCAGCACACTGTAAAAAACATGATTGGCTAGAGGGACTGTTAGCATATTGCAAATGAGCTAATATTGTGATATCAATATTGCCAAGGCCACAAATGGATGTAACAATTAACTAACATTATGTTGTGCAGTTCTAGTCACTAATGCAATCAATGCATTAGAGTAGCATTTAAACATGTGATAGTAAATATCACAGGAACCGTTTGTAACTTCCTCTGACCCCCTTGTGTTTACCAAACTGCCTCTTTTGAATTCATGTTCAACTTTCGCATCACGTCTGGTCAGGCTATTGCATTTAACCTTTGTTCAGTCTCTCATTGCAATTTCCAGACCCAATGCCAATAATTTTAGCATGGCTAATTAACAAATTAATGCATTATGTTACCCAGCAGTATATTTCTCACAGCACTAAATTTAAATTTAATTCTTAACTCTGTTGCAATTAATGGTTTAGCCTACAATGTAAAAAATGTTTTGCTATATCTGCTTTTTGGGCATACTTACCATTATATGCTTGAATGCTATTCTAATGCACTGATTGCGCTTAAAAGCAACTAGAGTTGCTCAGTGTACCGTCAGCTAGTTGTTACAACAATTGTGGCCTTGGCAATATTGATATCACAGTATTAGCTCATTTGCGATATGCTAACAGTTCCTCTAGCCAATCACGTTTTTGGAAAAATGGAAATGTGGTTAAGAGAGGTTAATTTTGTACAATAATGCAATGCGAAGAAATGGAAATAAAATATTTCACTTTTCAAACTTTCTTCATAATTTAATCCTTATCATGTAAACAAAGTCATTGAGAGTGGTTTGATGTAAAATGGTTCATTGTAGAGAAACTCGCTGACTCAGATTTCTTTACAGTGATAGGAACCAATGTCTACAATGCATAAATAGATATTTTATTGACTATCCAAAACGACCAGTGAACGTACACGTCTTCTGAAGTTTCATATGAATGTTGAAAAACGGTACATTGCAGCTCTCTGCAATTAGTGTATTTTTAAAAAAATGTGTTTTAGGCCAAAATCTTATTTAAATCGTAAAACAATGTTTCAGGCATCATCAGCATATCTGTAGTAGCTTTCAAAGACAGGTAACACTTCAGACATCTGGTTCCCGTCATGTTGTGAACAGCTCTGGTTTTTCTGGAATGGTGCATTTTACATCAAAGCACTCAGTTTACATGTTAACCAATTAATTAATTATGCTGAAATGTTCAAAAATTCTCCTTTGACTTCAGAAATGCTGGGTTATTAGGAGAAAACTAATGTGTTATTATAGTAATGTAGGTCTAGCTATGCAGTATATAATACAAAATCATATGATGGCAAAAAATTGGCTATTAATGGCTGAAAAACCATGATGGTTGCTACAGAGGTTGTGCAACAGACAGCACACAGGCCTCTTGTTATCGGGTATCACCAAGGGACACCTATATCAGATGTCTCTTAGTGTTTGTGTTCTGTGCAGCCGTAGGCCTGTCACAACTTAACAAATGGTGCTTTGACGTGGAAATGATGATGATTCAGAACAAATTGGCCAAGCCCCAAATGGGTAGAAGTGGCCTGTATGTAGTATTCCCTCCTACCAGCACTTTGAACACCAATGCATGAGAGAGTGATATCACATCATGTGACATCATGTGTCTTGCTTTGCGAAATCTATCAGTTGAACAATCTATCAAAAGCAGAAGTGTGTCCTGGCTCTTATCTGTACGTAACTCAGTCTCTTTGGAAACTGTGAGTCGTGAGAAGCGCTGGAGATGCTCTCATGCTTATGTTGGTGGGGGAAAGTCCTCTGGGAATAGTGTACAGTCCTGCAGTACATCCGGTCAGTGCAACCATGGCCCAGTCAATGACCTCATGTTCCATCAATGTTCTCACACATATTCATCTACATAGATAATCAAGAATCTAGCATTGTATATTCTAAAGAAGGGTGATGTGATGATGTGATATCATTATCATGATCAATTACATCATGATACACTTCTCTGAGCATGTAGGTATGATGTAGTGAGTTTGATGCCAAGAGCATGTTTCTTCCTGCTTAATAGAATGTAGTACAGTGCAGCATGTGAAATGATGACTGAACAAACACTTGCATTGATCGTTTTTGATTTTGATTTTTTTAAAATGTGGAACTGCTGTTTTGTTTGTGAATGTGTTTGTTAAATAGCACTGTTCCTCCTTAATTCATCACACCTAGTGAACAGACATCAAAGCTTATCAAAGCCTAGTTAGCAATCATTCTCATAGCAGTAAAGGCAATATTTGAATATTTCGTAGTTCAAGTGATTTTATATACTTCTGAGTATGTAATTGTGTAGTTTGCCATTAGCATCCAGATGAATCTCAGGTCTAGACTTCTTTTATCAGTGGGAAAAATTAATGATGTCAGAAATCACCCCATCTTTCTCTGTGGATGACCGTCAACATTTAAAACCAATGTTTTTTGTCCTACTTACACATCCCCTAAATATCAACTATGTCATTTGAATTATTATGACGTCGCTAAGTGTAGTTGTGGAGGTGCATTGATCTCTGATCATTTTATGGCCAGTTCCATTGTTTTTTTTTTAACCCAAAGCTCATGAACACACGTCTTTGACTTTGTGTTAGTCAGGTCAAACTGGCAATTGACTTATGTGCTACAACTGACTGTGTTAGTGCTGCATTTAAAGCTACATTATGTTAGTTTGTGCGCTTTGAAAGAGTATTCTGTGCATTGTATTGATCTTATTTTCTGGCAGCCCACTCCGCATAGGGTCCAGTAACATTTAGGGTTAACAGGATAAAATGTTTTCAGCTTAGGAACCCTTTAAGTTTATTACAGTGTGTAATAGTGACAATTTTCAAAGACACAAATAATTTCGCATTGAAAGAAGTGGCTTACACCTCAAGACTTTATTTGGGCATTTTGCTGGATGCAGCCTCAGTGGTCTACAAAATTCTGGCTCTGTTTTTAACATACATGTTTAGATTCCCCATGTGCTGGTCATTCTGAGGACTAAGCAAACTCATAGGCCCATAATCCTATTGCAGTTGCAGCTTCCATTCACAGAGTGATGTTATTGTGATTATCTTCTCATATCACTGAAGAGGACCCTTAGAGATAGTAAACCTGTCCAGCTGAAGCTCCCTGCGCTCTATATTTTCAGGATATACCAAACCATTCACCTGAAATTGTGCAAAAGCGCAGACTAGATGACAGTGAGAATATCGTAAAGAGGTGCAGTAGATCTATGGCTCTTTTTTCTCATGCTTTCAAAGTTAGAAAGGCTAGAATTGCCTAAGAAGAGGTTTGAAAGTTCTACTGGAACATGAGCACGTTGGTAGGTGCTTAATACTGGATACAGCTGTGTAACTTCCCATTGCTTTGGTCAGTATTCATTGTTATAAATGTATAACTGCTAAAGAATGGCTCTAATATCCTCTTCAGCATTTAGAATATCTATCTGATTGTCCATGCTGATGACTGCTGTTTTAGAGAAAGGATGTTTTAACGTGGTGCTGCAATACCAGATGTGATGAAACTTCCTTTTCCTCACAGTACTTTTTTTCATGCTTATTATCTTTCACTTGTTGCAGTGTAGCATTTTGGTGGAAACGTAATAGATCAGTTATATGTGTCTTTATGTGTTCTGTTGCGATACCACACTAGTGGAAAATTCGAAATATTCCAATCCTATCTAGCAGTTTTTGCTTCTGCAGTACTTTGTCTGCAAGTACAGTGAAGCATTGGGATAATATTTACTAAATCTGAACCAGGCTTAAAGCTAGCTTGGCATGTCTGCAGAAAAAGACCATCCAAATTATCTGCTACCCATTAAAAACCAAACTTCATAGGTGACCCTGTGGTCATTCAACTAATGTCCTACAGATGTAGCTTTACTTTCTTTAGTGTCTTAGTGTCTGTACAAAGGTAAGTTACGGCACGCTGAGTGTTTAAGGGAAGAGGATTAGGACAGAGGGTATTATTAGAGCTAGCTGATTATCCTTTTACCTGATCCTCCTTAATTCCAGCAGTGCTGTATTTATTTACCATTGAACAAGGAAACTGCAATCAAGAGCACTCACTGACTGCCTGTCAAAGCTGAAACCATATTAGCCATAATCATGTAACTGAATGCTCAGCCTTCAGTCTTTCCTGCAAGAAATATGGTACAAATTGCTGACAACATCCTGCCATGATCAACATGCTGACACTTTGTCTATATAGTAGTAGTAGTAATAGTACCACTACCACTACTACTACTACTACTAATCATAGTAATTACAATAACTTTTAATTATAGAGCACATTTTATACAGGTTTACAGCTCAGTGCTTTATAAACAAAATTCAATAACAATAATATAAAAAGAAAATAAAGTAAAAATAAATTAGAAGGAAAATTAAACATTCATTAAAAAGCAGGCAATAACAGATAACATTAAAAAGATAAATACAAAAACAATGTAGAACTTTAACAGCTAAATTAAAAACATACATTTACAAGTATTTCTTGAAAGTAATGACCAAGCTTGACTGCTTAATAAATAAAGAACCTTTTTGAAAAGGGTTCTATACAGCACCAAATGGGGTTGTTCTATTGCTAAGAAGTCAAGCCTGTAACAATAGAAGAACCCTTTTTGGTGCTATATAGAACCTTTTCATATAACCATATACAACACAACAACATATAAACCATATAAAACACATTATCCATCAATCTGAAGAACGCTTTCATGATGTAAAGAACCCTTTAATCATGCAAAGGCTTCTTTGAGTGTTCATGGTTCCATATAGAACCATTTTCTTTATTAAATAACCCTTGAAGAACTGTCTTTTTAAGTGTGTAGTTATATAGTTTCTCCAGTTACATTTGTGTGCGGAGAGTATTTTCTAAAATATCTGACCTATCCATGCTCTGCCCGAAAATGCATTCGTTTGTAGGTCCTGTTCAGCCTAATGAGAAATTGTAGCACATAATTCATAGATATTCTTAAAATATGTTCATTTAGAGAGTGATATTGATTTCAAACATTTATTTTGAAATGGCGCACTGTTATTAAATGGTAGATCTGTTTTTCTTGTCACGTAATCAAGGTTTTTAAGGATAAATATATGATTCACAGGCTAAGCTTCATTGCTAGCTAGCTAGGCCTCTATTTCGCAGTCAAAAGCTTAGAGTGACTGACTGTCAAACCTGAGGAATCCATAAGAACCATATTAGTACAATTATAAGGGAGGCACCAATACGGAATTTATAGGTGATGCTGATATCTAATATTTTTTTTGTACACCTGTGTCACTGCCATTTGTACATAAACATTTTTTGTAAATGCTATTTATAAAATCATGTAGAAATTTAGGCAACATCTGCCTAGATTAGCATTACAGAGAACTAACAAAATGAGTCTATACATTTACAAATGCAGTAAAATGAATAAAATGCAGATATTTTTGCACAGTATCCCAGAGTTGCCTGAACATTGTGCTCCCCTAAAGTAAAATAGTCATCAAATATTTGTTTAAAATATCAGTCATATGATCGGTCTGATGCAATAATTTCTTTTAAACCAATATCGATATGATTCCTGTCATTGTGCATCACTAATAACTGCAAGACATAAGTGTGAGTATCATCTATTTGCTGACGGCTTCCAGCCATCGAACCTGATCCACTGCTGACGTTTTGAGACTGAGTTCACTCTTTTGCTACTTAATATTTTAGAGCAGAGTGTTCAGACAAAAGACTTAAGGTCATCTGCAGTGTTCATTGTGGCTTCATGTTCTAACATTCTGTTTTTATTCCAATATTTATACTACATCAGGAGGCTGTTTAGTTGTATGTTGTGGTATGTGGGCTGCTTATGTTTTCATTGTGTGCCTCAGCCGCTTTTGTTCATTCAGCTGTGGGCAGTGGAGGACAGTTTTAAGCAAGTCATCTTGCACATTCACCTTTTTTTTCTGATTCAGGTCAAAAGCCAATTATCAACCCTTCTTGAGACAGATCAGTTGTGGTGAAGAAAAGAACACAAAATTATAGAGGACTGAAGCTGGAAATATTGGTTTTAAGTCTGAAGGGGATCATGGAGAAGGTATAATGTTGTTCCTTAGGGCTTCTGTCTGATACTGTTTTTATCTCTTTCCAGTGTCCAGTGTCATGAAACTTAATCCACGTCAGGCTCCGTTATATGTAAGTATAACATCACAAGTTACTTCTGTGTTCCTGTTTGTTTAGTGAAATGTTATGAATAGATTATGTCATTGCTGACAAGCACAGGCTCTGTTTTCCTATCCTGAACCATGTGCTGAGTCAGTGTCAATGTAAATGTGCTGTGTACAGAAAAAGGCCCTCCTGATGACTGACTGTGGTGTTGAATCAAAAAGCTGACTGCACTGGAAAGGCCTTCAAGTCTAATAGTCTGTGACAGATTAAGAAGTATTATCAAGCCTCCAGCTCAGTAGATGGCTTGAAATTGTTAATAGGGCTTAACCGATACATTGGTTGGCTATTCTGTTAAAAAGGTTTAACCCTTTAAGGTTGGCATAAAAAGTGGCTACTTCTGCCATTTGATTTATTATTCTCCATTAAAAAGGTGATGTCCCAGTTCTGTTGTTACATTCATATAACATGTAACTCTCTGAGCCGCGCTCTCCGAGCCGTACTTTCCGAGCCCCACTCTCGGCTCTAGATATGATGTTACATTGTGGTCAAGAGGTGAAGTAGCTGTTTGGGTGCTACAGTCATTATTTTAATGCCTTCATAGTGCACAACATATCGAGTAGGGAGACATATTCAATTCAGCCTAAGCGAGCATAAAATAAAAGGAAATTTGCTGCCAAGCTGGAGAGGTTGGCTGTGTGAATGATCTGTTTAAAATAGTTTCTGTCATCTCATAAGAGTAGTATAGTAAATGTAGAATGTAATGTAGAAAATACCATCAGTGCACAAATGTAACTGGAGAAACTATATAAATACACACTTAAAAAGATTGTTCTTCAAGGGTTCCTTAGTAAAGAAAATGGTTTTATATATATATATATATATATATATATATATATATATATATATATATATATATATATATATATATATATATATATATACACCTTTGCATGATCAATGGGTTCTCTGCATCATGAAAGGGTTTTTCATATTGATGGAGAATGTGTATTATATGGTGCTATATAGAACCTTTTCGAAAAGGGTTCTATATAGCACCAAAAAGGGAAAAGAACCCTTTTTCATGCTGTATAAAACCTTTTCAAGAAGAACCCTTTAATCATGGAAAGGGTTCGTGAGTGTTCATAGTTCTATATAGAACCATTTTCTTTACTAAAGAACCCTTGAAGAACCATCATTTTAAGAGTGCACATGTTCAAGCCACTGTTGAACCCCCGCACTCCTGAAAGCCGAAGGTGTGGCTGCAGTTCCTAAGAAGAGGCGCCGGGAGCTGAAACTGTGAGTCTGAAAGTGTGGGGGCTAATTATGTGGTACTGCAGCTCTGCAGATGGATACTACTGAAGCTTACAGGTCTGACTTACTTCTGTTACAGCAATACAGACTGAACTGGAAATTTGAACGCAAAATACTTTCATAGTTAAAATAAATCATGTCAGGTGCATCCAAACCGTACCTTTAGCATGAGGATAGCCTATTAATAACACAAAAATGCCTTTCAATGAAGTGAATTGATGGAATTTAAGAGCTACTTCACAGAAACCAACAAAAAGAGGATTACTAAACAAGAGCTTTAGGAGCATCCGTTGTTTCTTTAACCTTATTATTTAAGGTTGAAAAAGCCACGAGGACTCTCTGTACTCTTTTATCTTACAACTTTTATCTTACAACATTTTATTGTACAACATTGGGTGTACCTAGACTTCAACAATGAGGTGTATGGTACCCATGGATTCCAAAAAAATCAAAATTTGGTTTATTCTACTGCTCCAATTTATTCCACCGCCACAGTCGACGGCAAAAGCTGGGAAAACTGGACTCTCTGAACATTCTGCTTACAGATTTGGGCCGATGCCCCTGGCAGTGGCAGCATTTTCTGACGCTCCTCAATTGAAAACGCTGAAAAATTTGTTTTGCTGTCCATCATCTACTGTCATGGAAACGTAGTGTAAAAGTTCTGGGAAGCTCCACCCTTGGACTGCAATATTTATATTATTTAACAATTTGTGAGTTTCTGCTCTCTAAGTTTCAGAACTTTGACTTGTGAGAACTGAGAGCTAGAGTCTGTTTAGTTTTTAGCTGTAAAAAAGGTCCCTAAACTCAGTGTCACACAAAATGTTCATATTGGTCAGGACTTTTTAAACCTTAGAATTTTTTTTACAAAGCAGAATGTTTGCAGTTATCCAGATAATATGCGAAAGTTTATGACTGTCCAGTATGTAAGGGACATTCGTATTGGACAAGCCTAAACTTTTGGCTTAAGTTGTCTAGCTAATTGGGATCTGCCTTTGTGAAGCATGCCCCAGTCTTGGGCTCTACCATAGGGGTAGCCCCAGGCTATCAGCACCTTTCAGAAGCACAGAAACAGCAGAGGCGTGCATGGCTGGTGTCGTGTTACTGTCCTTCCAGCCCTCACTCATATACCGGGTGCAGTCAACAAAGAAACATTCCTTTAGATGGGATTTTCCCCTGTGAAATTTGATACAGCTTCAAAGACACCTATTCTGGTGCTAACACGCTGCAGTTAAACAGGTGAAACAATATCAGATCAGTCAAAAGACTGGCATAAGTGAATGCAGCGATGACAGTGATAGTGGGTGGATTATAATGTTTTGCTAATACGTATTGAAGGAAGGATAATCTCTTCTTACCTGCCACTGCTCTTTTCTTTTTTTCCCAAGCATTCTGTTACTAAACTGAATGATATTTTGTTTCCAGTTACAGCCCTATTGATCATAAGCAGATAAGGCAGTTTATATTCTCACCTTCCACCACTGAAGGGATCAACTGAGAGTCACTATAGTGTGTTTATGTTTATGTGTTACCTTAACTGGTTGAGCAGCAATAGCTTCAGCAAGTAGTTCTGGTGGAAAATCAACATAATTACTAATAATTGCTCCAAAGCAAGAGTTTTCAACCACTTTTCATTTATTAAGATATTGAAACTATAGATCTTTGATGATGTTCCCCCATATTTAACCCACATTTAACTCATGTCTAAGAATGGCTTTACATTTATATATCATTTATATATCTGTCTACATTTTGTTTTGGGAGGTTTTTTTTGGTGAAGGGTGGAGTCGCCCTCTTGAACATCAGCTTATGTTACCGTTAAGTGTGAGGTTTTGTGCAACTTCTCTCTGTGGTAATCTCTGCGGGCCAACAAGAACATGATTTCCTGTCAAAGTACAACTTCAGTTATTTCCCACCGCAGTCAACTCTCATTTTCTATTGAATTATGGGTTTAGTTGGAAAGGGTACTGCAATGGAAGGAGTTATCTTATTTATATATCCAAATACGAAGTGCTAGTTTATTTACTTTTGGATAATGCATTTGTCACATTGGCTAATATCAGGGTGCAATATTGGAGTTGTATAATAACTAATTAATTTGTCATTAATATATTTATTAATGATGCTTCCAGTTACCAGAGCTGCGTAAATACAGTGTACCTGTTTTGACCAAGTTACCATCTCGCTTATGACATCATTCATGGTTCGCTTCAGCGCACTTTTCTTGTCTCATAACCACAGACCTCAGAAGAACACTGCTTTGCATATATTTTGACACTGACATAACTGTGGTTATTATACGCCTCATACTGAAAACTGGAGTTAGTTCTGTCCTTAACCAATATTCCAGCATTTTTTCAAGCTAACCTCTCAAGATGCACAGACAATAGTTTCTGAGTAGTTAGAAAAGAACAGAAAATCCACTGTTTCGTAACTCTGTTATAATAGAAGAAGCCAATGGGCAGTTACTGAATTCTGTGAGTCTTGAGATATGTGAGTATTTAACATGAATTTGAAACTTAAACTATTACTACACCTGTTAGAGTCATTAAAAATACAAGTTTTAGGAATAGGAGATTATTAGCTGATATTAGATCTAGCTTTTAAGTAAAGAAGCAGTTCCAGCCTCTCCGTGACGTTTTCTCGTACACGTGATGATCAGGTGGGCACAGTGTAAACTCCACCGACACAACAACACTGGTTATGTATTGCCAGGAGTAGTCTTCGCTCTGGAAAACTAGTCCCATCACTGAAATAATTATATAGAATTATACAAAATTATATAGATAATTGAATTCAGCAACTGTCCAGTGGCTTTTTTTATATGTATTTTTTAATTCACTAGGCTCTCTGTTCTTTTTAAGTACAAACTGAGCTGAAGTTATCATCCATAGTGATTGACTGTATGCTACAGTTGCAGCTAACAGAGATTAAATCTGAGTATTTCTTTTATTCTTTCTTGATTGCAGCTACAATTTTGGCTGACTCAGTTCACCAAACCAGTGATTACAAATTAGTGTCATTCATTAACATCTCTTAAGATGTAATTTATGGTCATAGGAATGCATTTTAAGCCCGTCTGTGTTGTTTCTGCTTCCAGGGCAGTTGTGTGCTAACCGTTCAGCTCAGCGATGAGGAGCTTTGTCAGGGAGAAGAAGGTAGGGAAGATGCGGAGTTATTCCTGGTCTTCGCTGGATCCACTCAGAGGCATCTCAGCAGCACTTTGAGGGTCAGCCATGACACCCTGCAGGCAGTGTGCCCGGGTAGGTTCTTCCTCATCATTTGCTTCGTATGATCATTGAGTTCATACTTCTCTGTTTTGTCTTTTACTTTTCATGTTCTGTTATTTCACATTTGTTTGTCTACAGTGATCCTGGTTATCCTGTACTTCGACTGCACAATTTATCATTCCTTAATTATTATTGCAACATCAGCCTTTGCAGTACTGGTGTCACATAGGCATGCAATATGCAAATAAGTACTCTAACCAATCACTAAGTGTTCTTGGAGTTTTAGGATAAACCAAGGCATTCACATGATTCACAAAGTACAGTTTTCCATTCTATGGCACTTTTAAAACCTTATTCTTGAATGGTAGGTAGATGCAGGTAGCAAGTAAACAAGATATCCTTATGTGTTTGCTATCTAGTATTACAAGCTTGTTTTTGTTGTGCATGTCATGCTAAACTGTCTGTAACTGGATGTTTTGCATGCCATTCAAATGGCCCTTCCCTATCACGGTTCTCAAAACATAGCAGGTCTGACTCAGGAGCCTGAATTTCGACAGTCTTACACAGCTTGAAGTGGAATTGGCTCCATTTTGTGTAGTGATGAAGTTTTTACCACCGCTGTATTTCAGGCACTGTCTTCAACGAGTTGACTGCTGCTCACAGCACTTACTGGTGGATTTATTAGTTGACTAATCTGTGAAACCCCTAGTAGGAATATAATTGCAGTTTGGTATTTTGTCCACATTGTGTAGCCCTGACCAGAGACCTGTTTCATTACTATTGAGTGATTCAGTGATAAAAAATACCTCCTTAAATGGGGATTCCTGCCGAGAAAGGCTAGAAGGTGCTCTGGACTCCAAGTTTAGTGAATGTGGCTGCTCACATTCTAATAATAATACAGTAGTGCTTCTCTGCTTTTCAAAGATTATAGTAGTATTTGCTTTAGATCAACCAACATAGAAACACTATGGCTGGTTCAATCTGTGAAATTGATCAGAAAATTTGATAAGGTAAATATATCACAAACAGGAAACTTGCCTTAAGTTTCACTTTTGATTACTGATATAATGTACAGGAAAATCACATCGAAAGGGCAGCAAACGTACTTTATCTAACAGCAATCTTTTTTACTTTGTAATTGACAGTTAGGTAAATGTTGTATAAAAATAATTAAAATGCTCTATATGTTATTACATCTTCTAACTGGCACTGATATCGGTTTATTTGGCAATCGCTTAGTTTACACAGAGACAGTGGGCCCCTCTTGAAAGTTCTGTAAAAATGAACATGTGTATTTAGTTTTGTACTCGACACTGTAACAGCAGCCAACAGATCACAGTGTAATATTACAGATACAAAGTGCAGCACATACACAAGTTTATTTTTTACCAGTTCAAATTGTGATGTCTGGTTACAAACACTTTTGGCTTGTATCTGTTGCCATAGATCAGGGGTCGGCCACATGCGGCTCTTTTACTGCCCTGTTGTGGCTCCACAGCAGAATTAGATTTTTAGATAAAAATAAAATAATCCTCCTTTGCAGTTTTAACAAAAAATAGTCTTAAACACTGAAGTTAATGTAACCTATATCTCCTAATGCACCTTTCAACTCTAAAGGTCGTACAGGCTTATTTGCGCTTATAAACACTCAGCTGGTTTTCTGATACGTTTAATCTGCAACGAGAAGCTGTGAAACACTAATAAGTCATGAAGCTGAAGTCAGCTTCTTGTTAACAGTTAGCAGTTACATTCTGGCTCCATTTAAGGTGGAACAGGAAAATTCAAACAAGAAGCTGGCGAATGAGAAGCTGACTTCAGCCCCGTAAAAAGTTGAACGCTGAGAGACATTTTACAAGAAACTATTCTACCTCTGAGGAAAAGTTTCCTGCTGGAGTTGCGAGAAAAGTGGCTATAGCTGAACTAAAGCTTAAAGCAGCACAAAGTAAGTCTGGGTTTTTGTTTATGTTTATGTTTTTTAGACTATACCAGTGCATTAACACATACTGAGACATATTTACAGCCAAGATGATAAAATGGACATAAAATGTTGTGACTCCCAAGGTGAACTGATTTTTATTGAAAGGACAAAATGGCTCTACTTAACATTTGGGTTGCCAACCCCTGTTTTAGATGATTATGATAAATGTTTGACTTCTTTTTAACAATATTGCAGCATTTATCGCAAAAAACCTAAAACATCACAATGTGATATTTTAAATAATATTGTTCAGCCCTAGTCTATACTATTAGTAGGTCCTTCTTTGTCGGTTTGAAATTGATTGAAAAGATGATTGTGTTAATGTAATCATTTTGGTGGTTAGCTTTCACCAGGAACAGTGTGGGTAAAGGTTTATGAGTGTGCTGGTCGTGATGGCCACTGTGATTCAGTGTAGTGAATGTTTAACAGCCAAGTGAGTGACGTGCTCAAGACTGTGTATCCAGGAGCTTCTTCGTGTGTTTACTCAGTTAGTCAGAAGGAAGAAATTTTGTCCCGCATGTTTGACCAGAAACACTGCGGAGGGCTCAAGAATATGTTCAAATTCTTTGTTTGCTTTAGATAACTCACATCAAAGACCTTTCAGTCATGCGTTCTTATGTGAGCCGAAGGTCAGTCCCTGTCCATTTTGTCTACTTTATCCGTTATGTAAGTTTCTGTACAGACTGACTTGACCATCCCACTCCTGCCGGCTTGTCTGTCTGTCCTGTCAAGCCTGGAGAGAGGTGGCAGCACTCAGGCTTGTCAACAAAACATGTTTGCCACCTGATCTGATTAAGGGCTCAGGTGGATTGCAGCAAGCAAAGCAGATAGCAGGGTGCATAGAGGCCCACAGAGAGTGCATTCATGTTATCTAACTAGGTTCAGTCAGGCATCTCATTCTGTACACAGAGCCATGCAGCCTGACTGCACTGCAGATCAATATTTACCAGCAATGATGTGGATTAAAAATAGGGCTGTGCATTCTGACTAATTTTGATATACCACACAGGTTAATAAGTGGATATATGGTTGAACACAGGGAAGGCGAAACAGCATTTTGGTCGATATTAACATATTTGCATAACCTTGTTACAGATCAATTGTTCTCGTGCTTTACTCAATACACAATAATATACAAATGTAGTAAACTGCTATTACTGAAGTTATTAAATTGTGAAAAATAGGCCTGCATGATTGCTTTTTAGGTGGTAGCAACAAGTTTCACAGCATAAAATAAATGTGAAAACACGTTTGTTGTTCAGAAATGACCAAGGGTAATCTTTTACCCAAAGCGAGTTGTGCTGTTACAGCTAGTGATGAAGAGTTAATTCTAAAAGAGTTGATTCTTCGACTCCAATAGGGAGTCGGGGTCAACCAGAAAAAAAATGCTTGTAGTTGACTCTTTGAATCTATGGATTCTGTTTTTTCGTTGCAACTGGCTCAAGGGACATTTTGCTAAAAGCGTGTGTTGAGTTTGAGTAGCCCAAGTTTGTTTACCAGCTTTATGACATGCCACTGCTGCTCATAGTCGCTGATAAAAAACTGCCTAAACCAAACTTTCATTTTCTACATGATTAGGGAACAAAGGAATGAAAACAAGAACAGAGAATGCTGGAAAATGGCATGAAGCTGAAATTGGCTAATTTTTGCCAGCTTCTTATTCAGATTTTCCATTCCACCTTAAATGGTGCTGCAGTTACATTCTTGCACCTGTACACCATTTAATGTAACTGCTGCATCATTTAAGGTGGAGTGGAAAATTTAAATCAGAAACTGGCGAATAAGCTCATGAAAAAAGGAACATGATTGCATTTCGCTGCTTTGGAAAGAACACTTTAAATTTGGTTAACTGGCTAATGGTTTACTTTCATAGAATTATGACTACAGTATTGATGTTCTCAGTACATCACTCCCTCTTGAAGAAGTTCCTCTTGAAGCTCGAGCACTCTTCAGCAGCCTCATTATGTGAGATTTGTAAAATTATGTGAATTCTGATGGTAAGATGTGCTGAAACATTGAACAGCTGTAATTATTTGTCAAGCTACCTGATGTTAGTTGGTATACTTACGAATTGTCATCATATGACTATAATCTGCAGCTACACAAAAAATGGGTGAACTACTTATCTACCATATCCCTTTATCAATGGCTCTGATGCTATCTTGGGTCGAGTCGAGGAATTAACTTCATCGAGTCCAGTGGCAGGAGTCGAGAATCTGAGTCAACTCCAGAAAACCTATAGTCTTGATTTCACTAACTACAGCTAACACTAGACCTAACAGGTGCGATGTTAGATGGCAATACTTAAAACAGACTGGTAAAACTAATCATAAACCCCCCATTTATCATGATATTTTGCTTTACTTATGCTTGATAAGGAACAGAAAAAAGTCATATTTAAAAACACTACCAAAAATACGAATACATTCATTTTTTATTCAGTGTTTCACACACTGCACTCAATCCAAGAAAACTGGACAAATTTTGTTCTCTTTGTAAGGTGACCAGTGTTTTTTAAGTACTGATGATATTTACAATATCATCTCAATATGTCAGTATAGACATAATTTATCAAGATAGTGATAAAATAACATTATATTGCCCACATCTACTACCAGCTGACCCACAGAATGCTAAGTTGCACAACTTGCGCTGTATAAATTTGTCATCTTTTTGTTTGAAATATTTCGTCATACAGCTCTGCATAGATGTCGCTATTTCGTTAATGTGAGATACAATATCTGCTGCTTGTGTCCCCCAAACTCTGCAGTTTTACGTTACATGCAGAGTCAAAAAACTTTTAACTTTTAAATTTAAAATTTACAAGGCAATACACTATTTATTATTATTTTTATTCCGAACTACACAATCCTAATTTGAATACCCAATTAAGTAAACAAATACTACATCAACCCAGACACTCAGCCATTCATTTCTGCATGTAGATGCTTGGCCAACCGGAATGCATTGACGTAGAGTGTGGTTAGCTTAGCTGGTCTTTATGGCCTTGGCCAGTGATTTACTGTTGGTCAGGACTAATGCCAGTCTAGGCTGAAGATGAGTGGGTGTGGTATGAAAAGCTGATGGGCCTGGAGAAGAATTTCCAGGGTGGACGAATGAATCCAGCTTTAGCTTTTCTGTGCTGTTGGGTTATCTACTGTATTATTTTTAGGTCAGTATGATATGACAGCATGTGTCATATATGCCATGTTAATGATTTGGCGCACTGGATTATTATTTTACAGTGCATTATTGCGTCATGATGAGTGATCCTTTTCATTTCGCTGTAAACAAAGCTGTGTTGTCTGAGTTTTTAAAGGCTGAGATGCACAAGGTCCATTTTTTTATTTAGAGCTACATGAGAAAATGCGAGCCCACGGTTTGTATGTAAAAACAGACTTGCTCTACTTTATTCTTGGAGGGCCATCTTTAACCTTGGACTTTGACCATGTCTTGTAAGTGTGGTTCTCTCTTGGGTGAGACTTGGCCGTCATGTTTACAGCAACCACAGGCTCCAGCCACTGTGGTTATGGGCTGGGTGTGGGTTGCCATATAGATAATGACTTGGGTTTACTGCTGTAAGGAAAGAGACACCTTAACACTGTCATTTGCTGAAGTTTACAGCAAAGTGTGGAAAAAAGAAGCGGTTCACTGTGCAGCAAGTCTCTCCATTCTTTATTTGCTTGTGGGGCTGAACACTTTGGGGAAAATATCAAACGGTGTTCTTTTTTTACTAATAGTGTGCCTGCAATTTAATGGACAAACGTGTTTTTTGGCCAAGAAAACAATAATATCCACTTTTTCTGGCCCGAGGCTTTAATACTGTATTATGCATGTCAGTTTGTTGTGGTTGTGTTGTTATATGTTGGGTTACTTCTCATTGGCCTGACTCATATAAAGGCAGTTCCTGAGCTCTGAGTAATTGGGTTAAATTCCTCATGTAAAATCTAAGACAGTGTTGTTGATGATGTATGCTGCAATTTAAATTGCATCTTTTGCGATTTGAAAGTAGCTGTTTTAAAATGCAGTTACAATGTAAAAACGACTAATCCTTTAGTCTTGTTTGCCTATTTAAAATATGATATCTAACTAAAAACTTTTTGAATCTTGAAACTGTTTGAGCTACACGTTTAGCAGTATACATAAAGCAATGGTGGGGAGCTTCGGTCCTTGAAGGCCGGATTAAACTTAAACATTATCCATTCAACTCTTTAGTTAATTGCTAGGTTTAGTAGGTGTGGAAAATACCAAACTGTGGTGGACTTCAACACTCCTCACCTATTACATAAAGGGTATTATTATTGATTATTGATTTATTAGGCATTATATGTTGAGAAAAATCTGTAATTAAATACACAGATGGCATTAGTCATTAGTGATATGCTTCATGTTATGATGTGGTGCTGTTGTAATTACATTTATTAATGACAAATCTTTATTACCAAAGTGTAAAAATACAGGGGGTCCCAAGGAGTCTAAGACCCCTTAATTAACCCTTTTAGACCCCCTGAAAACCTCAAAATCAGAATTCTGAAATTTGTTGTGTTCTGGTGTGCATTGGCAAAAAATGCATGCTAAGATATGAATTCAGGAAAAGGTCATTACTACAGTGCCCTATTTTAGCCTGCTAAAATGACTGTAGCAGTGGTCTAACAGAGGGTGGGGCTAGTCCAGCACTAAATAGCCATTCAACTGAAGGTAACTGTAACCACAACTGGGCACCTACATGGATTTCATTTTGACGAGGCTTCTCAGTTTTTCATTTATTCTCAGTTTTGTTATTAGGCTGCCATGAGACTACAATGTCATGTATGTTGCCTTAATGCATCCTGCTGACCTTTTTATATGCTTCGTTCTTAAGTTGCAGATGTTCTGCTTCAATAATTACTAAGAATTTCACTGAATAAATCACCTAATTTTGCCATTCAAAACTTCACAGCTGATGAATTGGGCTCAGAAGACTGTCAAGCATAGCAACCGTAACCAAGGAAGGCTGTTTTTATTTATTCAGCACAGTCTTATTTTTGCATTTCAAGCTTCTGAGGCCCTGTTCTCTCCAATGACATTTTGGGTTTTTATTTTTTCAAAATCAAGCAGGACAATGAACATACCCAGTTCAAAATTTTTAAAATACTAATCATATCACATTCTTCTGCAATCACATTCTGCTCCCAGCTGTGTCTTGAGCTCGGGGGGCGTGGTTATAATCTGTCTAAGAAGCTCCTGGGTGAAGTTGCCTATAAACACTGATAATAAACCAGATTTGTGACTTGGTTGGTGGAAATGGAGACTATGGGGTCATAGGAAGAAATGCAATACTTAGAGCATTTAGTTTTTTCATTTTGAAAACACTGCAGTTAAATGCACTCATTGCTTTCTAAGGCCAGTGACATTCACTTCTGACAAGAATTTAGCAGTTTATTCCTAAAAAGTAAATCTTCACTTTTCACATTGTGATTTTTTCAGTAAAGAGATCAATCAATGTTAAAACACTGTATTGTAGGGTTTCATTGCCAGTTTGAAACTTTTTCTGCACATTACTAATGAGAAGTAATGTCATGTATTCACTGTTATGATGTGGTGCTGATATGCTTCATGTTATGATGTGGTGCTGTTGTGATGTCTCACTCTCTTTCTCTCTCCATTTCTAGCTCACGAGTGCTGTGAATCAGTTGTGGTCACCACGTGCTCTGCAGACCCGGGCGGCCTTGTTCATGAACTCGCCTCAGAGCGCATGTGTTTTGTCCAGGACCTGGCCTTTGACATGGCCCAGTTCCTGGTGGGCGCGGTGGGCCGGGCCGACATGTTAGAGGACGCTCTGCTGCTGGACGAGCATCAGATCCCCCTGCAGGAGTGTGAGAGGATGGACCAAAACCTGGCCCTCGCTCTCTCCCACCTTACACTGCCAGCGGGCTGGAGCCTCCTGGGGAACTGCAATGGTAAGCCCACTGCACATCTGCCACAGGTTCCCTCAGAATATACATGCTAATCTAGTCTATATAATTGTAATTACTTCTCCATGCAATTATTTTCATGGAATGTAACAGAAACTCCATCCTAGTTAAGTTTGACCAGTAGCCAACATCTGACAGTAACAGTTTATGATGATTTTAGTGGAAGAATTGGTGGAAGTTCTAGGCATGAGCTTAGGCCATCCACAATCACATGCTGTTAAAGGAATAGTTTGGTGAAAAATCTAATTTGCACAATTTCCCATCTTATCCAAAATACAGACATTTTGAAATTTTGCACTGAATCTATGAGGCTAAGGTAACTACAAGCAATACAAGCTTATAGCTACCAGGCTAGCATTGTCCAAATTGCATGCCTAAATCATCACACATTTCATTTAATCTGTGCCTGGTTGTTAAGTAATCGCAAGTAGACATACTTATTTGGTTTCTGACACTGTATGACACACTGTTGTGGATCAAAATGGAAGAGTATGGACAAAATTCCAGATGGCTACTACCATTTATACGTCTTGGCTGGTCGAGGAGAAAAATTATTTACGTTTCATTTTCAGGCAATCTGTTCTTTTAATAGCACTGATAAGCCTAATTAAAGGTTTATTGATATGAAGGTTTTATTTCTTTGACAGCATTAAGAATCATTTTCCTGTCAGTGTCTCATATAATAATTATGTCCAAGAATTTAGACACCTGTAGAGGGCGTCTGAGAATCAGAATATGAACTGTTCATGCACTGTATTTATTTAAAAAGGGATTTCACTCTGAGTTCTGAGCAAATATTAGAACATGTCAGAACATTTGAGATAACAGAGTAAACAGTATGTGTTCTTTGTATGGTTTAATTAGTTGATACAGAACAGCAGAAAGACTCCAGTCATTCTTGGCTCATTTATTTTGATTCCTCTCATATAGTTTAGGGCTCGCTATAAGGACATATCTTTTTTAAACTTTGATAGTTGAAATTCATATCAGTCTAACTGAGTAGGAGATTACTGAAAGTTTTGAGAGTTTTTGACAGCAATCAAACTAAAATGAACTACATGTAAGACTGTTCTACATTGGTTAATACAATCATATTAATACAATCATATACAATCAGATACTTCAATTAAAAATAATTTGTGATGAGATAAAATTTCATGTTGTGCTCCAGGAACATGACAATATTTTATTTTACCATGAAAAATTGGGTCACATTATGTCATTATTTGCTTTTCTGAGCATTTTATGGGTATATGTTCTTACAGAACAACTGCATGTTTCATTAGAAAAGAGCAGAACTGATCCTGTTTAATTAAACATACTGGAACATAGTATGTGAAACGTTGAATATAAATCATAGTAGTTTTTAAATGTGGCTCTACTGGTGAATTCTGTCCCAACTTATCAACCCTCTAAATACTGTGACACATCGTGCATTGTGAAAATGTCAAATATCACTCACCTCTAATGCCCATGAGATTTCCACACATTTATTAAAGAAATATTTGAAATGCAAAGCAAGCAAGCAAAGTTTATTTATATAGCGCTTTTTACAACAGGTGTTGTCACAAAGCAGCTTTACAAAACAAAACAAAATCAGCATTACAAAAAGAAATCCGGGTCCAAACCCCCATGAGCAAGCCAGTGGCGACAGTGACAAGCAAAACTCCCTAAGAGACAGAAAGAAACCTTGAGAGGAACCAAGACTCAGAAGGGGAACCCATCCTCCTCTGGTCGACACTGGATAGTAAACATTGTTAGTACAAAACGGAGAAAACAGGTGGAGCAAATTATTAATTTGATTAGTTTAGTTTATGCAGCAGCAGCAGCATCAGTGGGGTCAGGATGTGAGGGTGAGGTTGCACGGCGTTGTACAGCATGAAGCTAAATGGTGGTCAAGCCGGTCCAGAAGGCTGGCAGCAGTGGCACCCGATCAAGGCAGAAGAGGCAGCAGCATCAGACGCATAGGATGGGTAGCTGTTCAAATGGTGTTTTGTTATGAAAATATAGCATAACACTTTTAATACACCTTTAATGTACCGTATGCACAGTACTGTGCAGTAAGTTATAACAAGAGCAAGTTGTGAACAAAATAACAGGAACACCACATGAAAAGGAACTTTGAAGCTGCTAAGTCACAATTATAAAGGCAGCTGCACAGGTGTGACATATTTGGATGAATTAGCCACATTATAAAAGAAGTCCAACAATCAGCACTTTAATGAGTTTTCAAAACAATATGAGTCAACTAAGAGAGTTCCGCTGAGCAGAGTGCTAAGTAGATTTTCTTCTCCTTCATCCATTAAATGGCTGGAGGCTTTTCATCTTGAAGAATGGTCTAGTATTCTACCGCACACATTCGCTAGACTTGTACAACAGCATTCCAAGAAAGACTGAAGTTGTCTTGAAGGCGAAGGCTGGCCCGGCTCCTGCTTATTATTGATGTATTGTTGGGTGTTTTCGTTATCACGTTCATCCCCTGTATTGATATATGAATGTAAGCACGATTGTTGTGACTTACCTTAGTCAAGCCTCTGTGTTGAGCCTGACAAGTGATTTGGCTCAAAGAGAATAAGTGAGATATAGAAAGCATAGTGTAGGTGTGCAAGAGAGACCTGGACTGACCTAAGCACAGTGCATGTCAAGGCAACACTGTCAGTCATTTTGTACAGTCTTTTCAGCAATCTCTTTTCACTGAAGATGAGCACGTGAGTGTGCCATTTGTTTATCATTGCAGTTCTGGCATGCTGAATAAAGAGGGGCAGGTTACCTCCTGCCCTTTGTGCTAACAAACAATGGTCACAAATCGCTTAATCTCTCATTTCGACAGTCTCCATTATTCAGCAAACCAGCTGACACAGAAGTGAAAGCAGGGACAGTCTGAACTCCAGTAAAATAACAACCTGATTCTTAAGAACGAGTGTCTTCTTCCTGATTTCTGACTGCGCTGCCAATTCTGTTGTAGCCCCAGAGCCCCAGGAGACACTACTGCACTTTGCTGCCCGCCGTGGGCTCCAGAGAGTCGCCCGTTTCCTCCTGCGGCAGCCTGGGGCCCGAGAGGCGCTGGCCCTGCCAAACAAACAGGGGGTCACCCCAGCTAGCCTGGCCCAAAGCCGGGGACACAGCGCACTGCTGGAGCTTCTCACACAGTGAGTATAGCATCAGATCAGATGGCAACTACATACATGGGTTTAAAAGCTAAGTTTGGGCTCACCTTAAAAATCTTTTTAAAAAACACTTTCTGTGTAAAATTAGGTCATCAAGCGAGGATCCGATGAAGTTAATTATTTAGAAGTATGTTGTTTGACGTGCTCACAATTATTGCCGTTTTGATTGGCTGTTTTGTGAAACTTGTTTCTCAAAGTTGGAATGCTTGCTACTGTTGCGGCTGGGTTTCAAGTGAGTAGCAGAACACTTTACAGTATACAACTAAGGTGCAAGTTAGTTTTACGTAGGCTTTAAGGAACTGTAGTTGCATGACAGTTTTACTAAGTCAGTCTTAGGATTTAAGGGGTCAGTAGTATCCAACACACAGAGATGCTATCATGGCTAACAATGTAATAGCTGCCAGTTAACATGAGCCTATTCACATAAAGCTAATAAGACCGTGATTGATTTTTTTCTGTGATTAAAGAGAAATATTTAAGCTCACCGGACAAAAAAATGGTCACCTGTACCTAATAGCGTGTAATACCTCCACAAGCACAAATAATAGGACTCAACAACTTTCTGAATGTCGGCGACATCAATGTTCAGCCACTCTTATGTCAAAGAATTGTGCAGTTCGGCCAGATTTTGTTGATGCCTTTCCTGGCGTCTTGCTCGTTGTTCCAGGTAGTCCCACAGCTTTTCAAGAAAATTCAAATCTGGGGATTTTGCAGGCCAGTCCAAATGTGTGAATGCTCCTGAATGTCCATCATGCCAATCAATTTCATTTGCGTCCTATGAACATGAGAATTGTCATCTTGGAATACAGGGACAGGAATGTTATGTTCCTCAGTAAGATGATGAGCAAAAGGCAAAACCTGGTTGCCCAGAAGCTCAATGTAGGCACTGTGGTTCAAATTTACTGTCACCTCAACCAAAAAACACCCATTTCCACATAATTTAAACACCCCCAGAACATCACAGAGCCTCCTCCAGTTTGAACCACACCTTGCACAAAGTCCTCATTGAAGGCTTCCTGAGGTCTTCGATAAACACGACGCCTGGCATCATTCACATACAGGCAGAAACACGATTTGTCTGACCAGATAACGTTTCCAGTCCAATCTTTGTGTCTCTTTACCCACTGTAACCAGGCAATTTTGTGAGCAGAAGTGAGCCAAGGCCTCCTGTGTGCCGCTCTCCTCCATATGTTCATGGTATGCAGTTCCCTGTGGAGTGTTCTTTCAGAAATTGGTTGTGAAGGACCTGCGTTGACTTCTAGAAGCAATTCTTGCCTGGAAGCGAAGCAATTTTTATTCACGAGCCATGAAGCACGCCAGCGGTCCCTATCTGTCAGTTTTGTCTTTCAGACACAATTCTGATGAGAATTTCCTGTAGAGTGGGATTTTTGCCACTGCTAGTAGACCCGTATGACCGTACACTTCGATATGCCTGCGAATTCAGCTACTTCCTTCCTATACCCCACAGGTATTTTTAGCCCGATCATCCTCATTGAACACCATCTTCAGGAGCCTGAAGTTACTGCCACCTTAAACATGCAAGGTGCCTAATTTTTTGTCCAGGGAGCCCTACTGTTTAGTTTAAGAAACTGCCTGTTGTTGAGTTAAATAGCCAGTTTCTCTTCACATGTGACTGCAGGCTCAGAGATTGCATCATCCGAATCCATTATTAACAGATAATTGAGTGATTTTCACATAAATTGATGTCACACTTGGCCACCCTATTGACATCAGGCCGCTATGATTCAGAGAGCAGTACTGGCTGCTTTGATTCAGCCTCTCTGAGGAAGCCCACTCCACCCAGGATTGCGCAATATCATAGGTCAGACTAAAAGGGTTTCACCCATTACACCTCATAAAGAGCAAACTGACTTCAGCTGGGCTTGCTCAGAGGAGAACAGTGTTATAACTTGATTTGAAGAGGAATATCTGTATTTGTTGCGATTGCTAGTGAACAGTATAAAGTGTAGTGATTCTACTCTGAGTGTGTTGGAGCTGTTTGGGTGTGTGTTCTGAATAGGTGGTATGTTTTGGGCAGGGAGGAGACGAGCACCCAAGATAGCACCGAGACACATAGACGTATCCCCTGTAGTGCTGGTGTGGTGCAGCACCACCCGTGTCTGAACACCTACACCCTGTCAGTGGGTACCCAGCCTGGCACCGTTCCACGCAGCCTGCAGGCTGATTTACAAGACTTTCGCTGTCTGATCCATCACAACGCTCATGGCAAGGTGAGTCACACTATCCAGCTCCCTTGTTTTCCAGGCAGAATTTTTCTTTTGATCTGTCTCTGTTTCATTTTTTTACCCTCTCCTTAAAGCAATAGCTTGGCAGAACAACTAAACATTTTCCCTTTTCCCCAAATGTAGTCAATCAGCCAAGACATGTATGGTGTCTGAATGTTGCTTCTTTAGTTTTACACTGAAGCTATGAGGCTGATCTAGCTAACAAGTAATGGAAGTTTATATCTTACAAATTAGTGTCTTCCAAACTGTGTACCTAAATCATCACACTCTTGCCTAAAACTGAGTTGAACTGTTCTCAATTCTGTAAAATAGACCTGCTTATATGGACAGAAGTACAGAGCAAGCTATGCAACATTTTCTTTTTTATAGATGACAGCATCACACATTGTAACAACCTTTTTTTAGTAAAAACTGATTTTTTTGAAGTGTTTTATGCACCCGTGCAAAGTTGGACAATGTATATTAAAGAGACATTCCACTTATATTTTAACATTTCTGTATATTCCAATAATTAAGATGAAAATAAAGCCAATCAGAGTGCTTTATTTTGAAATAGTTAAATGTTGAGAAATTTACAGACTCCGATTACTTTACAGTGGTGGTGATAGGAGCCAGGGGTCATCATGTACACAACACAAACATAGTTATTTAAATTACTGTCCAAAAAGACAAGTAAACCTACACACGTCTTCTAAGGTTTTTATATGTTTTGTTTGGGTACAGTTTTCCATAAAATGTCCTACGTATACCTCTCTGCCATGAATAGGTTCTAAAAATTACATTCTAGGCCAAAATCCTCTCTCAAAACTATCATAAAACAGTGTCTCAGGCGTCAGACAGCATATTTATGAACACTTAGTGTAATGTTTATGTGATGTAGCTTTTAGAGGCAATACATTTTCAGATGTTTGGTCTTTTCAGATAAATGCCACGGTGAACAATCCTGCCTTGGCAAGTTTCTTTAGAATGGAGCATTTCACATCAAACCAGGCTAAATGACTTTGTTTACATATTCAATTTTTTTAAAAAATCAGTGTAATTTCTTTTTAATATATTAATATGTGTCAGCGCCAAACAGAATACATGTTCTGAAGGTGCCCTATAATTGTAACCTTTCATTATACATAATCCATGAGAGAGTGAGATACAGAGTCAGTGATTTACATAACCGCGTGGACTGGTATTGATGAGATTTTAAAAGCAGCCTTCTTGGGAAAGAGAAAGCTCTGAAGCAGTTTTTTATTACTTTTTCTTTGCTTTTCAGGGAGGAGCTGTACTTCAGCTGCAGTCCGAGTCACCACACGCTGTCGGAGAATGTGCAGACAACCCAGAGACAAGACAGGCCTGTTTTGAACAGCCACAACATGACTCCCTCGACACCAGAGAGCAAGAGTCCACGTCTCTGTGTGTGAAAGGAAACAAAAACGAGCACGGCGGCTGCTGCCCAGGTCCACTTCAGCACGGCTGTCCTGCACCTCCCTCGGACAATAGCAACAGTGACGAGAAGCGGGTGTGTGCTTGTGAAAACACTGAGGGAGATTACGGAGTGCAAGCAGAAAGTGCAGCTGCTTGCGTAGAAGGCTCGAGGAAGGAGGGAGATAGTGGTGACTGCTTACAGAGCACATTTGGGGGGGAAAGCGCAGCCCACCAAACCTCATCCTGTGGAAAGGAGGGAGAGGAAACTGATAGAGCTCAGGACTTGATCTGTGAGGCACAGGGCACAGCTGAGGGGCCTGAAAGGGAGGTCCAAGCAGAAGACTGCAACTCTGGGAGGCCAGACCAGGACCAGCATCTAGAGGAAGATCTATCAGAACACAAAGCAGGAGCAGCTGGAGATATGGGAATCACTCAATCTTTGGACACGCCTGAAAGTTCTGATGTGGAGTCGGGTTCTCAAGGAGCAGAAAGCGATGATGAGAAAGAGGTGGAGAACACAGACATTAGTTCTTCAGAACTGGAAGAGAAGGCCGAGGGGCTGGTGGACTTAAATCCAGGAGTGGATCAACCATTAAATACCTCACGTGAAAAAGATGGGCATGATTCAAATGAGACTGACCTAAACTCTGCACTGCATTCCTTGGAGGACAGGCGTGAATTTAATGGCAGTCAAGTCTCTTGTGAGCAAACAAGCTATGAACTAGAAAGTGATGAACAGGAAAAACCTGGAAAAGACAATATTGAAGGGCAAGAAGAAGATCCTGTTATCTTGTGTTCTAACACTGAAAGAGAAATCAGTCAAGAACAAGCTGAAGCAACTTGTCACCATGGAGATACATCTGAAGGCACTCCAGAAGGCCAATGCCTAGAGAATGAGACACTTGAGAAGATTCAGTCTCCCTTAGAAGCAGAGACTAATGAAGGTGAAGGAATGTGTAATTCAAGTGGTGCATCGACAGTGACACTTAACGCTGTCTCCAACGACTCTCACTTGCCTGAGCAAGAAACAGAAACAGGCAGGGAAGAATCACGATCCACAGGGGAACCAGACCCAGCAGAGGTAAGCAGAGCAGCGGCAGGAAGTGAGAGTGAGGCACAAAAGTTGGGAAGCTCCGGTGATGTCTCACAGCCTGAATTCGACTCAGAGCCTGAGTCTCACACACCAACCAGTGAAGACACCTTAGAACCTGAGGAGGGCTGTACCACCAAGGGAGTTTCTTGCAGTGACCAGCAAGGAAGTCCAGAGCCGGAAACCCCTAAAGATACCTTGGAGTCCCAGGTCTTAGCGGTAGCTTCGGAAGACACAGAGAACAAACGTTCTTTAGGGAGTAATGATTGTTTTGAAGGCAGGACAGAAGAAATTACCTTGCAAAGTGGAGATGTTGTGGACCTTTGTCCTCTTGAGAACCGTGAAAGTGTTTCTGAACAGGGAACAGCATCTCAAAACTCTGGTGTTGACCAATCAGAAGAACATTTGAGTGACACCAGACATACTGAAAACAGTCAGACTCCAGAGAATAATGAAAGAGTTCCTGAACAGGGAGATGGAACTATTTCTCAAAACTCTGCAGTTGACCAATCAGAAGAGGAACGCTTAAGTGACATAACTAATGAAAGCAGTCAAACTCTGGAGAGTAAGGAAAGAGTTCCTGAACAGGAAGATGGAACTGTTTCTCAAAACTCTGAAGCTGACCAATTAGAAGATCAAGTGGACACCAGAATTAGTGAAAACGGTCGAACTCTAGAGAATAATAAAGGGGTTCCTGAACAGGAAGATAGAAATGTTTCTCAAAACTCTGAAGCTGCCCAGTCAGAAGATAAAGTGCACCCTAAAACTACTGAAAACAGTCAAACTCCAGAGAGTAAGGAAAGAGTTCCTAACCAGGAAGATGGAACTTTTTCTCAAAACTCTGTAGTTGACCAATCAGAAAAACAAGTGGACGCCATCACTAGTAAAAACAGTCAAACTCCAGAGAGTAAGGAAAGAGTTCCTGAACAGGGAGATGGAACTGTTTCTCAAAATTCTGTAGTTGAGCAATCAGAAGAAGAAGTGGACACCAGAAATAGTGAAAACAGTCAAACTCCAGAGAGTAAGGAAAGAGTTCCTGAACAGGAAGATGGAAGTGTTTCTCAAAACCCTGTGGTTGACCAATCAGAAGAAAGAGAGGAATTGGGTGATACCACACACACTGAAAACAGCCAAACAATTATAGAGGAAGAACAGTTATGTTTGGACCATTCTGTGGGTGGTGTTTCGTCTACCTCAAATGTAACTGATACAGTAGGCATTTCAGTGTCGCTTGAAGAGCGGTCAAATGTTGAACTTGGAAGTGAGCTTAGCTCTAAGCCAGCTGTGGTGGACACGGGTTCTGCGGATATAGAATTGACTGAGGCACAAGAAATGCAGGAAACAGAAGCTGAACGATGTGAGGATGCACACGCCAGTGCTCTTCAGAAAGGTGAGGTGCTATTTGTGGTCCTCATACCTCAAATGCAAAATCAAGAGTTGAATTGAAGCTCAGGCAAGTGTTGTTTCGACATTGTTCTGTATCTACTGGATAAGGGTTGCAGATTGTAGTGTTTGCTTTCTAATTATGTGCAGAGCAGTAAGAACGCTACACTGCTATGTACAAAGTGTTACACAGTGAGATATTATATGCGTACTCTCATTTTTTGTCTGCCTTCAAAAATGCTGATTATGAATTTCTGCCTAATGCAGGTGTTATAATGGCAATAAAATCATAAAAAAGAAATGCTGTACTTTTAGAAAGACGCTGAAGTGCAGCATGTATTAAACATACTCTTAGATCATCTCTGACTCTCCACCGGCAGGAAGAGTGTGAGTCGTCCTATGAAGGACTCCACCTATTATTAACCAAAACACAGTAATTATTTCTTTCCATGCCCAAAGGAATCATTTAAAGCAACACGTGTACCTCCATCATATCCATGCCAGAAGTGGGGCGTTCTCATGTATCTCAAGATATATTCACAACAGAACGTAGCTTAGCAACGGGTGATGTCATCAAGATAAACCAGGAAAAGCAAAGAAGAGTTTGTCCTCCATTCAACCCTTTTCCTGACTGTTTTTTGTTCTTCGTTGTCAAAGCCAAAAGTACATGGCTACACCCATATTTTAATGGTTATTGTTATCTCTGCTGAATTACATAATAGAACGCAAATAGCCAGACTGGCTATTTTCAGAAAGCATGTCTGTTTTGTTGAACGAGTGGCACAGCAGGGAATGTTTTCAATTCATTAATCACTCACTAAAAGTGACCACTATTTTCCGTTCTTGGTCAGGAAGCCAAAGATGGGCTCTGGCCCAGCGTTCTAACATTTGCCATGACTTGTCAAGCTTGTTCAGTAAACGTTGTATCCTGGCATCGATCTCGGTTTGCATTAGTTATGTGATGTACTTGTCCATTTTCAAATGTTCCCTCACAGAAAAAGACATCCCTTTGGAAGATCAGGTGGACTGTCAAACCCTCACTTGCCCTGATGTTAACACAGATAATGCAGTTTCTAAGGTGAGTATACGTTTCCTTTATACATCTTAAAGGGGCACTCTGGTACAAACCTAGAGTTTAATATGTTATTTGTTGTGTTATGCAGTATTGCATTCCTCAGCCTCATCGTTTTGACAGAATTCACGATTTTATATAATTGTCATGTTTTTGTTCATTAATGTTCTTGCACTACAATACCCAGCATGCATTACGCAAGAAAATCACTCATTCTCTCCATTGTGCATTGTTCACTTGATGTTTTGAAGACAATTATATGGCTGCTGTAAGAAATTCAACTTTTTAGCAGTAACATTAGCTCTCTTGGATTCTTCTGCATTCACCAGCCAACAGCTATAAAGTAAAAAACATTTCAAACAGCCAGTCAAAATTTCTTCCCAGCTTCAAGATGCATCATAATGGGCTTCCTAGTCTTCAGATCAAGAAATCTGTACTGAAGCATTGCTATAGAATGCGAGAAGGCATGTTTAGAACAGATGTTGTGATAGTTCAATGTTTCTTTTTGGCCAAAGTGCCCCTTTAAATGTCATTTATTCTAGATGTTTTCCCCACTATTTTTGAATATTGAATGGCTGCCCACAATAGTAATAGATGCGCATTTTAATACCAGGGTATATTAAAGTTTTGGCATTTGCATGGATTCTGATACACCATCTTTCAGCTCAGTTTTTGCTGGTTGTTTCTGGGTCAATCCAAAAAAGTACTCTTATCTAAATGAGCTGATGTTTACAGTGCCTTTTTGTGGCCTTATGATTGCAGACAATTGTAAGTTATGCTTGGAAATTTTGATTTATGCTTCTCACTCTTCTAGTATTTTTCCTCAGAGGATATTTTCAATTGAGCAGTGTTTCTTATCACAGGGCCTATAAGATGTCTTGTCTCTGAAAGGGCATGTATTTTGACAGTTGTCCAGGTGGGGGCAGTATTTGCCCTTGTAAAGCACATCCAGTTGTTTTCCCACTGATGCAGTATTTTGGTTGGCTCCCCCTAGTGCCATTCTCTGACATAACGTAGACCAGATGTGGTTTCTTCATTTGTTTTACTGATTGTCCTAGATAAGAACGTGTCATGAAAGGGGTTCTAGATTGTAGATAATAGTTTTAGATCAGATTCAGAATGGACCATATTCATGAACTACAGTACGGTGCAAAAGTCAGGGGCCACCCTTCTTTAATTTAATTTCCAGTCAACACGGCCATTAAGTAGATGTTCATTTTTAAGCCTCTGGAAAAAAGCAGAAAACATAGCAGAAAATTATTCAGAACTAATGTTTGTTACAGTTTCTTTTTAGGAAACCTGCTTTTAGATTTTCAAAGAAATCTGCAGGGATATTTTTCCACGTCTACAGAGTTCAGTGTTAGAAGTTGGTTGCGCTTCCTGCGTCTCACAATCCAAGTAATCCCAGTCTGGACTCTGGGATGGTCAGTCCATTGTTCTAAGAACTCAAGCAGCTTCTTTCAACAGCTACTCAGCTACTCATCCTTTCAGACCTGTAGCCTTGAGTTGTCTTCTCACAGTGGAAGGATGGACAGAAACACCTTTGGATTTTGTCAGATCTGATGCAAGAGTGGAGCTTGATTTTCTCCTCTCTGCTTTGTATCTGATGAGGACAGTTTTGGTGGTCTACCAGCTCTTGCAGGGTTGCTAGGAGCCTCATTTTCTCTGTATCTTTTAATTATTTTTTGAGCTGCAGAAGAGTGGGCCGGTGTTAGAGAGCAAAACAGTTTCTATTGTGTGCACCTAGTCAAAGAAACAGAGCTGGGTTAGAGCTAGTGTGTGAAGTCAGGGAGCAATATGGAAGTGTTTACTTTTGGGAGAGGTCAGATTGGAGGGGGTGGGAGAGGGAAGGCAGATAACAGGAAACCATGTGGCAGCGTGAGTGAGTGTGTGTGGTGTTTCTGTGTTCCATGTGCACGCTGCGTGTGCTTAAGTGAGGGCTTGGGAGGAGAACACTGAAGCAGTGTGGTTCGTCAGTGTGTCAGAATGCCAGAGCTGACGACGGGTCATGTTTTGCAGCTTCGGAGGGTTTTATTATGTGGAAAGAACCAGTAAAGCTGCCTGGAAGGAGTGCAAGGTTAATAAGCTTGCCTATGAAAGTGTGGACCGGATCATTAACCTTCAGATAAAACTCTCTCACCATTCACTCAACAGTCATGTTCTGTGAACGTTGCCTAAAAGAATTCCCCAAAACAGGTAATCCTCATTTTAGAGGCCTACATTTATTTTTGCGTATGTATATTGTTGCGATCTTATATGTATGAAATGATGACTTTGTAAAAGAAGGAAAAAACTTTCACACTTTAATGCAGGTTAATAGGGAAGTTGACAAATTTTTCAGAATAGCTGTATGATTGAGGCATTTGGTCTAAAACATATAAAATCTCTTTATGGTTGGAGATATACATGCAGGGTGTTGTGAGGCAAAATAGTACCCCAAACAACTCTTTTTTTTTGGGATTTACCACTATTTTAACAATATTATATATAAAAGCTCAGAGGACCTTTAGGTTCACTAGTTGTTTTTAATAGTAAGTAAAATTGCTATATGTGCATCACAACCACTGGTTTCTATCACTACCATTGCACACAAATCCAAGTTACAGCACTTTTCAACAATGAACCATTTCATGTCAAACTACTCTGAATGACTGTTGACATCTGGATGATTGAATTATGCAGAAAATGAATGTGAAAAATTTCCCTTTAATGACATTTTATTCCAAGTAATTTTGCATTTGTATTTCTATTTGTCATGAAATGCTCACACAATGGTCACAAGGTTTTGTGTGCTTTTAAGTTGTCTACTTAGAATTTAGTTCTGGGAATTTTGACCTTTACGTAAATAATTTGCATTGTACAACTTCAAAATATGTGCAGTGATAAATGCACATAGCTTCTGCTTCATTCAAATGCACACAAAAATGAGAAGCATGAAAAACCCTTAATTCTACTGCTGCCTTGCTTGGTTTTGTCAGTTTAATGTGACCTCAGGGGTGTCTGTTCATCCGCTGGCTCTTTTGCGAGTCTTTTTGGTCCCTTAGTGCCGAAAATCTCTGCTAAATTGCTTGCAGATTCATCCTGCCAAGCCAAAGTTGCGATTTCTGCTTATCTCAGCTTTGGGGATTATAAGCAGATGGGAGAAATGGCTATGAGGTGTTGCCTTGTTTTGTGTAGGCGGCTGCTTCCTTTTCTACTTTTGCTTAAAAAAAAGGGCGTGTCTTGTTGTGGGTGTACACATGGCAAGCTGATCACTGAAGTCTTGTTGCCAGGAGTGTCACAGGATGGACATTTGAAAGCATCGGGGTCAAGCTAGGCTTGTGTTATCAATCAGCTGCACAGGACAGACTTCCTCAAGGCTCAGGAACTGAGCTCATATGTGTGATTCAGAGAGAGAGAGACTGTGAATATGGCTGCTATAGAGACAGACAAGAAGAGGGTGGGAGAGGGTGTGCATAAGTGAATACGCATTAGCAAAGGAAACACAACTGCATGAGTGTGTGACAGAGGGAGAGGGAAAGAGAGAGAGAGAGAGAAGGGAGAGAGAGTTGGGGGGGCGAGAGAGGCAGAGCGAGTGAAAGGGGCCGGCTCTTCACACAGATGTGAAAGATTAGGAGCTTCTCATTTTTCCAAAAGCTCTAGCAGCAGAGGCTTTGCTTGTGAGGACCTCATGTTGGAAATAAGCTCCAATCTGTTCAACAACTTTTCCTTACATTTTTGGGGAAGATGTATGAGCGACACAAGCGGAGGTACAGTTTGTGTGCCAAAGGAGGACAAGATGTGGATGTGGTTTTAATAAAGGTAAAGCTTTTTTTATTAAGGGCTGTGGGTTGTACTTTAACAGTAACTTTACACTCAAATATTACTGTAGTGTTTCTTCTTTTCTTAAACTCCTTTTAAACTCTACAGAGGTCCAGACCTTCTTATTCCTGCAATTTAAGTATAACCAGTTTGCATTGTTTTCCATGTAATCAGTGAATGAAAATGTAGAGTTTAAGAAGTTTAAGAGGTTAACTAATGTAGCGTTCACCACAAATGGAACGTATTTGTCTTGCTTTGAAATTATTGATTCTTGTGAAGTGTGCCACAGACAAAATATCCATGTGAAAGCAGACTAAATAGTTGTCAATGCCACGTGTTGGTCAGGTTTTCTCATATGACATGATGGTGTTGCATTGCTATTGTTGATTTTGTCTTTAAAGACAAGTATGTGTCATGATGTGATGGAGTGTCCAGCAGAATCATATGGTCATACTGTCTGAGGGAGTCTGAGTGTGTGTGTGTGTGTGTGTGTGTGTGTATGTGTGTGTGTGTGTGTGTGTGTGTGTGTGTGCGCGTGTGTGTGTGATTGTGTGTGTGTGCACAGGGTGGGGTTTGCTTTTGGATGTGGTCCTCCAGACTCAAGCTTGGGAACCAGCCACTGTTGAGCCTGAGCCTGAGAATGTTGAGCCTGAGAGTTATCATTGATATGATGCAAGATTTGAGTCACTGTCGTTTGTTTATCCACTTGCCACAAACTACTGTTTTCTCAGAGACTGAGTTCTTATACAGCTTGGTTTAAATCCTAAAGGAATTATTAGGTCTATTCATATCACTCTTTTTCAGTATTTAATGCCCACTCTTTGCCTTCATTACAAGCTTCAGTTCTACTCTTTTTGCTAGACTTGCTTTCAGTTTTCCAAAAGATATTTTTCCACAACTTCAAAGTTCAGTCTCAGAAGTTGGTTGCATTTCTGCTTTTCAGAGCCAGAATGCTTATTTTGCCTCATGGTTTGTATTCTTATGGAAATATTAGGCCTATTCACATTACTCTTTTTCAGTATTTAGTGTTCACCTTTTGCTTTTAATGCAGCTTCTATTCTTTTCTTTATGGTAGACTTGCTTTTTTTTCCAAAGAATATTTTTTCGCAGCTCCAAAGTTCAGTCTTTGAAGTTGGTTGAATTTTCTGAGTCAGAATGCTTATTTTGCCTCATACAGCTCTGTATCCTTAAAGAAATATTAGGCC